AAAATATAAAATACAAAAAAAGAAAAAAGCAAATTACCATTTTAAGTTTAGCCAAGTGTTATAAATTTTGTGACAGTTATGTAAAGTAGACTAAACCTTAAGAGTATGAAATTATAAAACGAATTCTCATTCATTTACTTCTATTGCACAATTTATTAGTTTACTCACAGAAGTGTTTTTAAAATAAAAGCATAAAAATTTTGCACTGATAATATATCAAAATTAGAATATAGCAAATTAAAAATCCTAGTCATTGAAATGCATTGCACATCTTAAAATTAATTTTGAAACTAAAATTTCTGAGAAACAAAACAATATCAAATTTTTAAAAGCTGACAATGTCAACTTAAATTCTACTCTAATTCAAATCATGAGTGCTTTAGGAATGGTCATTTTCTATAGTTAAAAATCCATCTGATGGCCAGCCGGATAGCTCAGCAGACTAAAGTGCCTGCTTTGGCAGAATGCAGTGGTCAGGGTTTGATTCCCAGTGTGTTGTGCCAGCCCTGCCCCCAGGACAAGCTGAGACAGCAACTGAGACTGGGTGTGGTGACGCTTGCCTGTAATTGCAGCACTTAGGAGGCTGTAAACAGAAGAATCACTATGAGTTTGATTTACATAGTAAGGCCCTATAGACCCTGCCCTAAATACAGAAAAAGAAGAAGGAAAATAAAAATCCATCTTATGGTAACAATATAACTCTAAGATTTATATTTTGGTATAATATAAAGGGAATACTAAAAAAGTTCATATATGTTAAACACAGAATTTTAATAGCTCTCATAAAATACAATTTTCATTGTGTAATCTCATTTATCAATTACATTAAAAAAAAGGTTAGGGGCAGACATTAAACATCAATATATTCCCAATGCTAACTCAACAAACAAAATGGATACTAATAATAATTAGAGCCAGATCACCGAGAGTTACTTTTAGCTAAAGTTCTACTGGATAGAAATCTGATCTTGACTAAAAGTGTGCCTTCTAGTAGTATCAGTTACATAACAGATGATGTTTAATATATTGAACAATCACAGGGACAAGCAACTGCCACCAGACAGTGGTAGGTAGGCAGGATGCCTCCTTCCTACCCTATGACCAGCCTTGAAGCTGGTTAAGGGGAAACAGGGAAGCCTACAGGACACCGAAAAGGAGAATAATGTGGTAACTGCTGATAGAAGTCATCAACAAGCACACATATCTTAGTCCCTTATATGCTCTTCTTAGAGGCTTCCTCCCGTGTCTGGAACTGACCTTTTCAGTACTGGATTGTATTCTTAAGAGAGCTCCCTGCAGTATCCATTTACTGGACTCACAAGTTCAAAACTATTTTTAAAAAATATTCAGGGAGGACCCAGAGATTCCACAGAGCTATAATCACCATCTCTTTTCTCTTTTGAAATAAGGTCTCATTAAGTGGCTAAGCTGCCCAGGGTGAACTTGAACTTGCAATCCTCCTGCTTCAGCCTAGCAGAATGCTGCAATTATAGGCATGTAACACCACAACCTTTGTTGGTATGTAGTTGTCCTACATCTAGATATCAGTAGAATACCAGTTTTAGAGTACAGCAAAAAAATATTATTACTATTAATATGAAAGAATTATATACTGCAATGTAGAGTTTAAAAGTTTCTGGTTAAATCACCCCAAAGCAAATACTTTGGCAATTAAAAACAACAACAACAAAAAAAAAAACACCAAAAAAACCCAAAACAAACATCAGTGAAGTTATCAGCCCAGAGTTTACTACCACTTCATCTTGGGTATCAGCCCAGAGTTTACTACCACTTCATCTTGGGTTATCAGCCCAGAGTTTACTACCACTTCATCTTTCCAAACTTTCAAAAATACTCAAATAAAAAATGTTGAGAAACCTAAACCTCTCATTATTTATTAACACACTGTAAAATGACAGCAAATTTGTTTATTAAATTAACATGCTTTTACCTTCTTATCTTTGGATCTCTTTAAATAAAATGATTTGGTTATATTCAATGATTTAAAAACCGTCTTGTTTTGTAAAGACAGCATCGGCTATGAATGAGAAGTTCATTACGCTATGTCTCCATTATATATTATAGTATCTGAAGATGTATCTTCACAAGTACCTGACCAAAAAAGAACAGTATTAAACAAACAGCCTAGGTAAAGTACATACCTGAGTTCGTAAAATTTCATTTTTTGATAACTGCATATCACCAGTCAGTTCTTTCACAACAATGCCCAGGGGCTCTAGACGTCTGCTGAAGTAATTTGTCATTTCAGCTGCCAAGGCTTTCATGGGAGCAACATACACAATCTGTACCAAAAGCAAAAAACAAACAAACAAACAAAAAAACACTATCTTGATAAATGAGAAAAAGCTAAAGTCATTTGTTTCAAAGAAGGAAAACAAGTAACAATTTATTGTAAAATATGATATTAGTTATTTCCTGTGAAAACATTTAATAGTGATATATGAAAAGTACCAATCTTTGTTGGATAAGTGTGTAGCTATTTAAAGGGCAATGAAACTTGTTTACAAAGCCTTACCACTCTGTAAATTGGTTCTGCTTCTAAGCTAAATGTACTTTCATAGCTTTTCACAAGAGTGATATTTCCTAACACAAATAGTGACTGCCTTTAATAACCATAAATGAAACAAAAAAGCACTCTTTATAAGACTTGAAGTACAATAAATATGATAGAGACTTCTACATGTTATAGAACATACACAACCACAAGCTCATTTTAATTTCTTCAAATAAAAAAAGAAAGTTGTCTAGTTTCTACTTCTCTCACCTTAAACTCATTCTTTTTGATAACACCTTGTTGAAAATGCTGGCGAATTTCATGCAAGATTGTAAGCATTGCAATATTGGTCTTTCCAGCTCCAGTAGGGGCACAAATCAGCATGTTCTCATTGGTGTTGTAGGCAGTCTCAAACACTATTGACTGGATTCTGTTGAGTCTTCTCATTCCTTTAAAAGCCAACTGTCCTATCTTTAAAAAGAAAAGGCATTCTTATACCATTATAGATGATAATAATGTGAAGAACTCTTCCAAAACATGAAATAACATACCAATTCCCTTTGGTTTAAAAAAAAAAAAAAGTACCTTGTTCAGTTTTTCACTGTGTCCTATATTAGACCAAAGTATGTATAGAGTGGATTAACACATAGAATATACCATATGAAGAACTCAAACAAATTAGATTCCTCCAAAATAAAACACCTAACTAAAAAATGGACAACTGAAACAAATAGCTATGTTACAGAAGGACAGATGATTGAGAAAAAAAAAATAAATTCATCATCTCCAGCCATTAAATAAATGCAAAATTAAAACAACACCAAGATTCCATCTTACTCCAGAGACACTGGATAACGTTAAGAAATTAAATTATAACAAAAGCTGGGGAAATGTAAGGAGAAAAGGAAATCCTCCTTTCTGGTGGGAATGTCACTAGTACACCTCTATGGGAAGCAGCAGAGATTCTTAAAAAAAAAACCCTAAAAATTCCATTTGACCATCAAATTTAAAAGGCAGTAACAACTATTGAAAATTGTGTTTTAATATATTGGGAAAATCTTGAAGAAATGAACAGTAGAGTCATACAAATTAACAAACTAAACCAAGAAATAAAATTCTGAACAATCCAAAGACAAGCAATGAAATGGAGGCAGTAATAATAATAATAATAATAATAATAATAATAAAACCTACTAGTTAAGAAATGCTGAGAAACTGGCTGAAATATACAGGACCTTTAAAGAGGTTATAACATCAGTACTCTTCCAATTTCATGAAACTGCAAAGAGTACTGCTTCCAGACTTATTTCTTAAAGCAGCATCACTCTGACTACAACTTACATAAAGACCTAACTGCAAACGAATACAGGACAATCTCCTTAATAACTACTGATTCAAATACCCTCAAGAAGATACTGCAAAAAGAATGCAATAAATCATCAAAAGAATCATACAGCATGGCCAATTAGCTTTCATCCCAAGTTACATGGATGGTTCAACATATCCAAGTCAATAAATAATACACCACATCAACAGAAGCTAGGACAAAAACTACAAGGTCTTATCAACAGATGCAGAAAAAATCTTTTGAAAAAATCCAATATTTACTCATGATTTAAAAAACAAACCCAAACAGGAGTGCTGGTACACACCAGTAATTCTGGCACCTGGGAGGATGAGGCAGGATGATTGCTACAAGTGCAAGGCCAACCTGGGCTTCATAGTGAGTTGAAGGCCAGCCTGAACCATATACAGCAAGATCTTATCAAATAAATAAATGAATAAATAACAAAAAAACCTGAAGGAAATAGGTATAGGAGAAACATCTCAATCTTATGAAAGTCATTCATGTCAAACCAACAGCCAAAATCATATGAAATGGGGAAACACTGAAAAAGTTTCCTTCTAAAATCAGATATGGAACAGGGATGTGGGGCTGGGGAGATAGCTCAGTAGAATAAACACTTGCCTGGTAAGCGCAAGGGCCTGAGTTTAATCCCCAGTTCTGAAGAAAAAAAAAAAGGAAAGTACAAAGATGTTCACTATCACCACTTCTGTTCAATGGGATACATATAAGGAAAGAAGTCAAATTATTATTTGTAGATGACAGGATCTTTACATAGATGTGACAAAGTAATCCATCAAAAGACTGCTAAAATAATCAAATTCAGCCCTGTAGCATGATACAAAATTCACACAAATCAATAGTGTTTCTATATAGTAATAGTAAACTTGCTAAGAAAGAAATGAAGGGAAAAAACTCTCAAAATAGCATCAAAATGTTTACATCCTTAGGAATTAAACAATGTAAGAAAAAAAATCTCTACAATGAAAACTACAGTACCTCCAAAAAGGGTATTAAAGAAGATTACAGAAAATGGAAAGATACCTGTGTTCCCAGATAGACAAAACAAATACTGCCAAAATGGCAATACTTTCAAAACTGAAATCTCAATAAAATACCGATAGCATTCCTCACAGGACTAGAGAAAAAAATCCTAAACTTCATATGGAATTGGAAGACAGTAAAGCAGTCTGGGCAACAAGAGCAAAGCAAGAGGCATCACAATACATGATTTCAAATTATGTTAGAAAGCTACAGTGATTGAAAACAGCATAGTAGGACTGGGGAGATAGCTCAGGAGCATAAGCCCCTGCCTGGCAAGCACAAGGACCTGAGTTCAATCCCCAGTATCACATGATATGCTGGCCCCAAAACCAGGTATGGTGGTACATGCCTATAATCTCAGAGCTGGGGAGGCTGAGACAGGAGGATCACTACGAGTCCAAAGTGTGCAGTATGACCCTGTATCTAAAAAAACCAAAAATAACAACAACAACAAAACCAGTATGGTATTCACACATACTGAGATTGCCTGACCGGTTTAACTTAATCCAAGTCTAAATTTATATATCTATATTTTAAATCTGTCTATACATACATTATATAAACATATGCTATATTTAAAAATATGTAAACTTATACGTCTAAAGGTAATATACTATTTCTGAGAGATTTTTCTAAAACAGTTAAAAGTATGCATAATTGTTTCAGGTGTTTGAGAAGTATAGAAAATTCTAGAGAGACCATATAATCCAATTAGGGATTGTTCCACCTTCCATAGATAACTGAGTTGCTCAACTAAACTCAATCAGTGTACATATTTCATAAAGGAAGTAATGTGTTAATAGTAAACTATAAAGTTATCTTAGTAGTTGAGACTAGTACTTTTTAAAACTGTAATAGAAAACAAAATACAATGTAGTATACATTTGATAAAAGTATAACTTTATGGAAAATTTTATTAATGGTTTTTTGATATACTGGTTAAAATGAAAAATAATTAATTGTTTTACGTGAACTCTAATCGAAGAAACTTGAGACCCAAGGTTATAAATAAATACATTCCAATGAAAATAAATGCATTCTTTCACAATATGAACCTCTTTCATTTGTGGAACACAAAAATGTTTCTCTCACAAATGTAGATATCTTTGGTCTAACAATTTACTTATTCCAAAATAACCTTTTCATCAGAATATTATCTATGAAACGAAAAAGTAAGAAATAATTCAAACATCATCAGTGGAGCACCACTTGAGTAAATGAAGCTTTATCAACACAATGGAATCCTACGAACCTATTAAAAACATAAGAAAATTTACTATTTTCAGTTAGGGGAAAAAAAAGCCATGAGATGCACAGCACTTTAATATGTTATTTTATTGTCCAAAGTTAGAGGCATGGAGAACAGAGTATAATGTGTTGAAACACTGGAAGACTACACAAAATATAACACAGTTGTTATTAATGAAAGGGAGCTGGAGACCTGGGTAGAAAGAGAAGATGGATTAGTACAAAAATTTTCATTCTACTAAGGGTGCTAGTCTTTTCTAAAAAACAAAAGGATAAATCCTGTGTAAAAAGAAAGAAAAAAAAATACTAATACCTAAATACAATTGATCATGTTAAAAATGGAAAAACTAAAAAACTATCTGATTAAGTAGAGAAATAATGAGCTCTCAAATATCATATAATTGACTCATATTTAAATGTTTTATTATATCTAGAGTTCTACACTCCACAGTCAAAAAGGTAAATTGAATTACTTCTCTGAATGGTTTTTCAAATTATTTTAAATCATACATTTTTCCTCACTTAGTGTTTTCTACAATATTATCATTTTAGGTCTTAACATCTTACTTCATTAAAGGCGCCTCAATTAAAAGCTCAAAGATGGAAGAAAACAGCTGGTTTTCCTCCTACCTCCAGTGCCTATGACATTAGACCTGTGACCTTATCCAAGTTTCTATGGCTTCATCAGAGGACTAAATCTGTTATTAAAAGCAAGTCTTAACTGTATCCTGTTATCATCTACAATGTGTTCTCCCCAGCTCTTCACCATTTCCTCAAGATTGCCTACGGAGAGTCAGACTGAAGACTTCTCTGTTCTCAAGAACTTGCACTGCAGCAGATGAATCTTAATTACCACAAAATTGTTATCTAGGCCCAAGGTAAAATTTTTCCTACACATATCTATACCATAACATTTTAAAGGAACCAGAGAATAGCTAATATGCTACTTCACTAAACATGCCAACCTCAAACCAGAAAATTTGTGACAAGACAAAAACTAATATAACATAAAACTAAAATGTTATCTTTTCTCTTGAATTACAGATAAATATGTAAGATAAATAACTTAGAATAAGTGGCAGTAAACAGCATAACAGGGATTATAGCAGTATTCAACATCAAAGTCTTATATTGATTTTTCACTAAGCAATGTAACTTATAAAAATACAAAATCAACAAAAATACTGATTTCACTAAGAAACCATATAGAACATGAAAGTTTTCTAAAGACTTGTTTTTAGTAACATTTATACTTCTATGGTGTCACTTGTATGTAATTAACATCATAAATGTGAGTATATCACATAACAAAATTTTCATATCAAAATATGTATCAACTTCAATAGCTAAATAAGAATGTCATATACATACATCTAAGCTAAATGTCCTTAAATAGAAAATTGGAGTAATTTATGACACATTCTCTATGAAGTACAGTAATTACACAGAACAGTAAAAATGCAAGTATGGAAAAAGATGTCTATATGTAATTATAAAGCATGCCACAAAATATTAACATAATTAATAACCTGTAATACAAAAAAAATTCTGAAACAATCAATCTAACAAGTTACGATTATAAAGGAACATTCATTTTCAATATCATAAATTTATTTTTTATTCATTTTAATGAGAAATAGAGATACAATAGCAATGAAACAGTTTCAAAACAGGTTAGTAGGATGGTTATAATAATTAATACATTGCATATTGTTGTCTTTGTAGTAGCTATTCAGAGGACAACATGCAGACATAGTATTTTGTCTAAACAATATTAGTACAAACTTTTATTCTCAATGAACTAAGACAAAGTACCTGTATATCTATCCTAACT